GGCCTCGCCGCCCGCTCTATGCATTCCCTCCGATCGCTCTGCTACCACAGGTAATTCAGAGGATCAGGGACACTCCACTCGGTGCTCCTCATAGCCCCGCGTTGGGAGAGTCAGAATTGGGTTCCGGAGCTCACTCAGCTGTCGCAGACAGCCCCGTGGCCCATCCCAGTCAGAGCAGATCTCCTCTCTCAAGCTCGCGGCACGATCTGGCACCCCCATCCACGGCGCTGGGCGCTACATGCATGGGTGATCAACGACTATTCGTCGATTTGCCAGAAGGAGTAAGAAACACTATCATACAGGCTAGAGCACCTTCCACGAGAAGGCTCTATGCGTCTAAATGGTCTGTGTTCTCAAAATGGTGCACAGACAAACATCTGGACCCACGGTCATGCGAGGTGCCGTCTTTGCTTGTTTTCCTTCAAGAGATGCTGGACAAGGGCAGGTCCCCCTCCACTCTCAAGGTTTACGTGGCAGCCGTCGCGGCGTTCTCTGAACCCCGACGCGCTCAGTCCCTGGGCAAAGACGAGTTAGTCATCCGCTTCCTCAGGGGAGCTAAGAGGATGAACCCTCCGCGCTCCGCTTCGGTTCCTATCTGGGATCTTTCTATAGTTCTCGAAGCTATGAAAGCACCCCCGTTCGAACCGCTCGAGTCTGTGGACCTAAAATACCTCTCGCTCAAAACCGTTTTTCTGACGGCTCTGTCCTCAGTAAAACGCGTAGGGGATCTTCACGCGCTCTCATCCAGCGCCGCGTGTCTCGAGTTTGGCCCGAATGATTCTGTTGTCATTCTCAAACCTAGACATGGCTATGTCCCGAAGGCAATTGGTACCCCGTTCAGGGCTCAGATTATTTCCCTATCGGCTCTGCCTTCATCCGATAGTAAGCGCGACGCCTATCTCCTCTGCCCGGTGCGGGCTCTGAGATTGTACACTACGCGCGCTGCCGCGTGCAGACGCGCTGAGCAGCTTTTCGTGTCGTTTGGGGGGCGCACCAAAGGTCTGGCCGCCTCTAAACAGACAATGTCTAGATGGATAGTAGACGCTATCGCCTCTGCTTACGCATCTAAATGCCTGCCCTGCCCTCTGGGCATCAGGGCGCACTCCACTAGAGGCATGGCCTCATCGTGGGCATGGTCCTGTGTAATTTCCATTCATGACATTTGTGTGGCCGCGGGATGGGCCTCCCCGTCCACTTTTGTCAGATTTTACAACTTGGAAGTTCCCGCCTTGCAGGCAAAATTACTAGCTGTCTAATGACCAGCTCCCTAAGAAGCTGCATTACTGGGAGTCCCTCACACAACCGGTTCGCCCCTTGTGCTCTCCTTAAATGCTTATACACTTCATGTGCCCGCTCTGCCGGCCTCATACATGCTTATGTATACACTTCATGTGCCCGCTCTGCCGGCCTCATATTACATTCACTCCACGTTAAAAATCCCCCGGTATCACCCTGGGATTCATGAGTGGATTCATAGCGCGCACGGCGTTGACCAGGTGTTCCCGCAGCGTAAGCTAGCTTACGCAATACGAGAGAACCTCTCGTAAGAGAACGAATCGGTTACCTAACGTAACCTCGGTTCTCTCTAGAAGAGGGAACGAGTATTGCGTTCCCGGCCGTGCTTGCGCTACTAGCGTTTCGCTTCACGCTGAAATAAATCAACATATAAGCCTGGGAGAGACTGTTATATACACCATAGCCACGCCCATTCTGGCGGGCTATGACGCAATGAGCGCGCGGGCGCCTCTCATTGGAAGCGGGTTCAGCCCCGCTCTCCCATAGGCTTAAGCAGTTCTCTCTGAGCGAACCAATGAGCTGCTAGCTAGCCTGCTCTAGGTCTGCCGCAGAGGAACTGCGTTGTGTATGGATACAAATTATGAAATAATTTTTGGCTTCAATATCTCAGCAAAGATGAATCTTTCCCGCAGCGTAAGCTAGCTTACGCAATACTCGTTCCCTCTTCTAGAGAGAACCGAGGTTACGTTAGGTAACCGATTCGTTTTCTGAGAGGATTCTTAGAATCTTTATGAATACGGCCCATGTTGTTACCCCTTTATTCCCCAAACCCTTGTGCATCAATTAAAAAAAGTTACACATAGCTACATAGTGGACAAAAATGTCCACGTCAAAAAACTGTCATACAAATTTGAATCTTGAGAGCACAGACTTAAGTTTGGTATCATTTTAGGGTGCTTTCACACCTGTAGTTCGGTTCCTTTGGTCCCAACTAAGGGCGAAAAATTATACTTTGTATCATTTTCAGGTGTTTTGGTTCCTTTTCACACCACACTGATTGCTCTGGTCCGAATCAGATGATGAGTTGATGAAACGAACCAAAATGCAGTCACGTGACAACATCCACATCACTCGTTGGCCAGAGGTAACTGCACTTCGATTGGTCAGAATCAACGTGCGGGAAAATTCCAGAGCTCCCGGAAGTAAACAAAGAGGAGGAAAATCCGGCAGACAGCGTTTGACTATGGAGAGTCTACGACTGCGTGGGCTGATAGTATCCCTGGTCATAGTATATTACCACTTTAGGCAAACAATTACATTTCATAATGAATCGAGGATGCGGCTTGAACAAAATGTTTTAATGCACTGCACGCGGCGAAGGCGCGCCTCCTCAGAACTCCACGTTTGTCCGCGAGCTGCATGCTAGTGCAAAATGTCAACAAACATTATTCCTCATCCCATAAAACACAGCGCGGCTGACTACGGCAGCTGGTTTAGTCCAAAAATATGCAGTTCTCTGACAGTTGGGTCTGTTCGAGTTCGGATCATGTTCTCACCACAGACGAACCGCTCCAGAGTTCGTTTGAAAGCGTACCGAGACCACCTCTTCGAGGAGGTCTCGGTACGCTTGTTTGGTCCGCTTTTGGTGCGCACCCGAGTGCGATTGCTGCTTTCACACCTACCCAAACGAACCGCACCAATTCGGAAAACGAACTCTAGTGCGATTCAACCGAACTAAACAAGGCAGGTGTGAAAGCACCCTTAAAGAAGACCCATGGCAGATTATTGCTGAAGTAAAAGACAATGTATAGGTTTATGTCAATCCAAAAAAAAGTTATATAGGTTTAAGTTTATGAAAATTATTTATGAACATTATTTTATATAAAATATATATTTTATGAAACAAGTTGAACTCTAAAACGGCTAGAAAATCAAAGCCATAAATCTAAACAAGTTGTGTTACAAATTTGAGGATGATATCTCCAAAAATTAGCTTTCGGTAAGATTTTGTTTGGGCGCAGTAACAGATTTTCCCCATTGGGTGCAGCAAAGCTTCACTGGTGCACACAGTAATTGGAGTTTTTCTCTCTCAAATATTACAAGCGCACAAACACACACACAAACACAATTTTTTTTTATTACACACATACAAACCACACTCAGACATCCATACCAACACACCATATCGTTGCACAATTTATCCAATTGGCTCTAATATGCCGAAGCAGAAAACAACAATAAAGCGAGTATTTGCTTTATAGGCCAAACCTGAAAAAATGGCACCATCTGATAAAAATTAAATTAAAATTTTGAAGCCTTGCCAACAGAATGAAAGCCTCTTAACAAAGATTGCATCATTGTATAGTTAAATGGCACTGGGATTAAAAATGGCAGTTTTAATGGGTTTCAATGGGGCCATTTTTGGCAAAACAATGCTAAGAGGGAGTATTTTGTGTACCTAGTGCAAAATAGATTTTTTTTTAAAGAAAATGGGGTGAAATATTACAATTCCAATAAAAATACACACCTGTGGCAAATTTTATGCAGTTAGCATTAACACAGACAAAGTTATCAAAAACTGAAAAAGCCAAAAATGTCCACAAGGATGCACAAGGGTTAAGTACTTTACACTATAATTACCAAAGGTTACCCTGTAAAATTGCTTTAATTACGCAGTACTTTCCGGGCTGTAATCTAAAGCGTTACCAAGAAATACAGTATTCCCAAACTAAAACATCTTCCCGTGCCATGGGTAACCCTTACGAAAAAGAGGTTTATTCAAGTGTTCTATTATCTTTACTTATTTTAAAGTCCCCGTGAACCGGAAGTTGCAAACGACTTTTCTCCAGTGTTGTGACGTATTTCCGAGAGAAACGGAATACTAAATGAGGCAAAATAGTGGGCGTGGCTTTTTCCCAACTAGCACCTGATTGGATCTAGAAAAGTAGGTGTTTTCATTCAGTCTGTCTACTGTCAGTTGGAGGGGCGTGATTACAGATGTTAAGCAGACACCCAAACCGTCAAACCTACGTCATCAGGCAAGGTCCTCCAACGCAGAGGGGAGGGGAAATTTCAGATTTTGATTAAAGATTACGAAGCCAAAAAATTTTTTTGTGTGGATTGACTTGCATGGATGAATTGTTCACCACAAAACGATCAATTTAGGCAAACAAAGTAAGTATGGTCAATTTTGAATTCATGGGGACTTTAAACTAAAAATAAGAAAGTATAGCTACTTTCAGTGTACATTTTACTTCTCATAAATATACTTTATGTAGCTACTTCTCAGAAATATACTTAAAATTACACTTAAGTGTATACTGATAGAAAAGTCCAAGGGCCTATACTTGTACTCAATCTTTTGATCGAGAGATACTTAAAAGTATAATTAAGTATTCAAAGTATACTTGGCTTATAGTTCTTGCGGTGTCCTTACTTCCAGAACTGTTTTCTGGTAAGATAATGGACCTTGTATTTATTGTAAACCTCTGGCAATGGGCTGATGATGGGTTACATTAAAAAAAAAATATATATTTTATATTAATGATTAAACGTTGAGTTTTCCATCTTGTATTGCTTGAAAGGAATAAGTAAGGTTTAGTGTGTTATTTTTAATAAATAATATCTAAGTTGATCTTTGATCTCAACTGTGATCTCAAACACAAAACAAATGCTAAGGTAATTCTGCACTCATCGAAAGTAGGTCATAGCTCCAAAAAAGTATACAGTTTACAGGATGTGAATCTTCTCTTCACAGTTGTTTTGTTTCCAAATCAGGTGAGCCGTTTCTTTCTTTTGAAGAATATGAAACCGCTGCTGTTCCTTTCATGTCTCTTCGGAGGTAAATTCTACTTTTTTAAAATACATTTTCAGCTTTTGTAAAATAATTTTATACAAATGTATGTAATTGTTGGACTACAAACTTCATTAACTTTTGCTCTGTGTGATGTTTCATTGTTGTAGCACACCTAATCAAATTACTGGATGCAGTGTGTCAGAAGCAGTTTTCTCTGTACATAATTTCAGTCTACGTCCCAGTTGTGTGGTACACTGAAGCTGATGGAACAAAGACAGCATTGCTGATGGCTAAAGATCCCAAAACCCATAAAACTGATGTAATACGTCATGATTGAGCTCGAGCTTGTCTTTATTTTCATATTTTTCAGATTAAATTCTTGTTTTTAATTATTTTAACTTTTCTCTACGTTATTTCCAGCTCAAAACTCCTCAAATTATCAGACAATATAAACCGTGTTCTTCAAAAAGATCAAGTTCAAACTGTGTGCTGCTGTGTTCAGTGGCAAATGCTCCAGATGCTACTCTAACCATGTATAAAGTAGACACTGTATTCTCCGTGAACAAATACACTGATCTCAACATCTCCCTCAGTTTATGTCTGGAGGTGGAAAATCAGGATAAAAACAACTACAGCTGTGTGATCAGCAATCCCACCAGCAACAAAACGAAACATCTGGACATTAGTCGAGACTGTCGGGAATGTAAAGGTAAGTCAGCAGTCATATTAGCATTCATTCACTGAGCTGATCTCCATTATTCATGTTCAGGCATGAAGTAGTGCAAGTTGATTTATGAGCAGATCTATAGCCCTGATAATTCTATTAGACATTTTCTTTTGTCAAGTTTCCATTTTTTGCAAGTTTCTATAGAAAAGGCACTCATTCAGAAACATTTCTGTATATTGTTTTTGACCCAGAATGATTGTAGATCCAGAAGTGTTACAATATTTGTATTCATTATTTAAACAGACAAATAATAGAGGGCATGTAATTATTTTAAGTGATCAGATTCAGCTGTCAATCCTCTTTAGATTAGACGAATATTCATTAAACTGATGAACTGTTTTATATGACCCTGTGATTTTGTGTTTGGTGCTGAGACAGATATATCACAGACACCAGTGTCAGTGATGGAGGGAGATTCTGTCACTCTACCCACTAATATTTCAGAAGTACAGGAGAATGATAACTTAGTGTGGATGTTTGGATGTGGTCATGGTTTACTTGCCCTCGTTGCTGAAATCTTTAATAAAGTTGCATCAGTATCTGACTGTGATGAATTGAGATCCAGGGACAGACTGCAGCTTGACAGTCAAACTGGATCTCTCACCATCAAAAACACCAGCAAAGAAGACGCTGGATTCTATAAACTACTGTTCAACGGTGCAAATCCCAAATGCTGGAGATACGATGTTTCCGTCCATGGTGAGTAAACTGAATAAATCATGTCACAGATGTAAGTAGATTGGTTTTGGTTCTAGTCTGAGTAAGTGTGTGCAGTGCATGAGGAGAGAAATTGGATGAATAAAACAATTTATTCAAAGACTGATAATAGGGCATTAGTGATTATGGATTAGTCATTAGTGATAGACTGCAATCTATAGCAGAGTTTTTCAGTGAATCTGCGAACAATGGAAACTAATCTACACTTTTGTTTAACAAACTTCTGTTCCCCAGCTCATCTACCTGTTCCTGTCATCACCAATAACTCTTTACAATGTTCATCATCATCAGAGTCCAGATGTTCACTGGTGTGTTCAGTGTGGAATGTGAGTGATGTGACTCTCTCCTGGTACAAAGGAATCAGTGTATTGTCCAGCATCAGTGTGTCTAAACACAACAACAGCATCTCTTTATGTCTGGAGGTGGAATATCAGGATAACAACACATACAGCTGTGTGATCTACAATCCCATCAGAAACCAGACCACACATCTGGACAACATCAAGGAACTCTGTCCAGGTTTGCCTGGAGTTGATATTAGTGTGTATTTACTAAACTGATTGGTAACAATTCATTTTGCAGTACGTGCACTTAAGTGTACTTACAGTGTACTTACCTAAGAAAGTGGCTAATATAAGGTAAGTACATGGGTTGAGGTTAGGTTTAGGGGTTGGTTCAGGGTTAGTACCTAGTTATTACCCAGTTATTGTAATTACTATAATAAGTACAAAGTATGTACATGGGGAACAGGACTGTAAAATGAAGTGCTACCAACTGATCTATGTCAATAATTTCCAGGTACATCATTAACAGCTGCTATTTTCTCTTGATCTATCGGCAACTCGTAAATAGTGTAAGATAGCATGTTCATTAGTTAAAAGTTTGGACACTCCATTCTTTGTATGCCAATTTTACACATTTTAAAACACGTGTTACAACACTTGTTAATCAATCAGTATTTTTTTACATGATTATCAAGCATTTTGACACAAGGCTTTAGATGGAACTAAATAGAACCTGTTTATCCTAGAGAACACAATGAACAACTTTTTTTTAATTCCAAGCCATTAGATAGTGAGGATGAGCCTATTGAAATTAAACTTTAGATATGCAAAGACAGTGCACTCAGATTATTTATGAATGGGAGAAAAAACAACCTTCTAAACAAAAGAGCCGATGGCCAAAAGAGTGCAACAGTCTGAAAAGTTCCAAATCGCAGTACATTTAACGCACACTAAGTCCACACTCATATTTTAAGGGGACATTGTGTAAGAATTACTCCCATCTAACGGTGAAATTGTATTTTGCATTCAAACGAATTGTGCTCTCCAGCGCCTCGCTTATGTACCAAAAAGCTATGACAGGATTAATTCTAATAGCACTTCGTCAAGTTTTCCTTCGGGTGAACAGGTTTGTTATTTCAAACAAACTGCAACTTTACAGTATGAATTAGTGACTGTGAAAAACATGTGAAATACTATTGTAATTAGTATTTATGCTTCTTTATTCGTTATATTTTCTGAAGTACGTGCATTGTTAGATTAGATATCATCATCATCATCATCAGATGATTCAACAGTAGGTAGAGGAAGAGGGACAGGACAGAGAGGCAGTGGATCAGTAGCCGCGTTTCCACTGTCAGGCCAGTGCGAGCCAGGGCTTTAAACGGGCCGTGCCGGGCTTATAGCCTCAGGCCAGTGCGAGCCAGGGCTTTAAACGGGCCGTGCCGGGCTTATAGCCTCAGGCCAGTGCGAGCCAGGGCTTTAAACGGGCCGTGCCGGGCTTATAGCCTCAGGCCAGTGCGAGCCAGGGCTTTAAATGGGCAGTGCCGGGCTAATAGCCTCAGGCCAGTGCGAGCCAGGGCTTTAAACGGGCCCTGCCGGGCTAATAGCCTCAGGCCAGTGCGAGCCAGGGCTTTAAACGGGCCGTGCCGGGCTTATAGCCTCAGGCCAGTGCGAGCCAGGGCTTTAAACGGGCAGTGCCGGGCTAATAGCCTCAGGCCAGTGCGAGCCAGGGCTTTAAACGGCCCGTGCCGGGCTAATAGCCTCAGGCCAGTGCGAGCCAGGGCTTTAAACGGGCAGTGCCGGGCTAATAGCCTCAGGCCAGTGCGAGCCAGGGCTTTAAACGGCCCGTGCCGGGCTTATAGCCTCAGGCCAGTGCGAGCCAGGGCTTTAAACGGGCAGTGCCGGGCTAATAGCCTCAGGCCAGTGCGAGCCAGGGCTTTAAACGGCCCGTGCCGGGCTAATAGCCTCAGGCCAGTGCGAGCCAGGGCTTTAAATGGGCAGTGCCGGGCTTATAGCCTCAGGCCAGTGCGAGCCAGGGCTTTAAACGGGCAGTGCCGGGCTAATAGCCTCAGGCCAGTGCGAGCCAGGGCTTTAAACGGGCAGTGCCGGGCTAATAGCCTCAGGCCAGTGCGAGCCAGGGCTTTAAACGGGCCGTGCCGGGCTTATAGCCTCAGGCCAGTGCGAGCCAGGGCTTTAAACGGGCAGTGCCGGGCTAATAGCCTCAGGCCAGTGCGAGCCAGGGCTTTAAACGGCCCGTGCCGGGCTAATAGCCTCGGATAAAATAAAAACATGATTGTGATAGCCTTTATGATTGGTCTGATTTCTTCAAACGTTCACCATGTTTTTTTACTATGCGTAAAGTTATCTTCAAGCGTTTACTATGGTAATGGTTAGCGCGCATATAACGTTAGTCTTTTGCATCGCGTATAAATATTTCTACCTTATATGGTGATCAGAATCCAGATCGGATCACAAACAGAAGGCATTCAAAAATGAAAGTGAGTTAAATTATTTTAAAAGTCTTTAATGCTGACAGAATCATCCAGCGCTGTCGATTAGGCGAGGAGGTGGACGACGAGGAAGAGGAGGAGAGCGAGAGTCAATACCACGACGACAAAGATGCCCGGCAGCTTCAAGAGACGATCTTGATAGAATTGAAAGTTTCCAAAGGCAGAGAAGAGAAGCAATGTAGCCTTTTAAACTTGCCGGGTCAGTGACAAGCGCCTCTCACTGCTCTGCTCCTCAGTTTCTGCTGCTTTCAGTCACGTGACGCTGGCTCTGAACGAAAACGTGTTGTGGAAATGCGTTGGCGTACTTTTTGTCCCTCTCTGCTATTATAGTTTTCAAGATGGCGGAACTACATGGAAGCTTCCGTGGGCCTACCCGTCCCATGTATATAAAGATTATAAATTCTTCGTTTACGAGGATAAGTCAGATAATTGGCAGAGGTATTTGTACACCATTGAGGACATATTTATGAATAAAAATATTGATTTTAGATAATAAAATACCTAAAAAATTACACATAGTCCCTTTAAGGCTAAGCGTATACTGTCATTCATCATGTTCTCCAAGTTCATGACAAGTCTAGAAAAGCTTTCCAGTGCAAGATAAATTAATTAGATGTTACATATAATTTGGTTGTAAACGTAAAGTGTTATACATTTTAGTGGTGCTGAGACTGCAGAGATTGTGTAGTTTGTAAAACTTTTGAAAGTGAAGGACCACAATCATGCAATCTGGTTAAGTGTGTGTCCCATTGAGTTAACAAAAATCTAAAGACTCTTGCTGTCTTCATGCCCACGTGAACAATGTGAGTATTGTGGACAGGCCCTTTGTGTCCTTTTCAAGACATCTACTGGTCAATAATGGTTAAAGGTATTCACTGTTATGTTAATTTGTAGATAGTGATAGTGATAAAGATAGTGTATTCTTGGTTCCTATAAATGCTGTTTTTTTATTATTTAGTATTTGATGTTGCTTTTGTATCTTTCTTGAAATCAGTTTGGCAGGATTCATTTACACTAATTACTGTTTTCTTTTTGTTCATTCCAGTCCCGGGCAATGATCACATTCCGCCATGGGTGTATATTGTTGTTGGTGGTGTTCTTCTTGGTCTTGTTGTTATCTGTTTATACAAGTCTTATAAAGCAAGACAAATGGGCAAGTTTTACATATACAGCTGATACGAGTCTTCTCTGCAGAAGTATCTTTTGCATTTACCACTTTTATTTACCAATATTTATTCACTTTCGTAATTTTAGTTTTATGTTATAGCATTATCACATTTCAACATAAAAAAAAATTCACACAGAAAAAAAGAGGTGTTCAAATTGTACCTTTATGGGTACAACAGCTTGTCACTGTGGCAGTACCCTTAAAAGGACATATTTGTACTAGTACTATTTGTACATATTAGTATAGCTTAAAGTAAAAGTACGTACCTTAAGGTATGAACCTTAAAGTTACAAAGATGTCCTTTTAAGGGTCCTGCCCCAGTATCAAGCTGTTGTACCCCTAAAGGTACAATTGTTCCACATATTTTTCCTGTTGCATTCAAAAAAAGTACTAGATTGTGACGAGTTTATGCATCAATGAAAATCATTTATTTCTTTTTCACAGAGGCAGCCGGAGGTGGCTCACCTAACGCTGGTGAAAAGAATTATTTGAATCAAGATTCATCCTTCAGAAAAACAGCGGAATCTGTCCTTTAAATAATAAACTGTATGCTGTAAATAGTTACAGTGACTTTTTCCTCCCATGCCATTTCCCAAGAAAACATCAGGATTTATCAAACAAAAACGTCAGAACATAGGCTCACTATTGGCCAGCATCACACACATGACCAGCATTAGAGAATGACATGGAAGAGAAGAGATGGTTAAATAAAGTCGTTAATTTTTGGGGTTTTACGCACAAAACGTTTTCTTGTTGCTTGATAAACTGAAGGTTGAGCCACTGTAGTCACTTGGGCTATTTTAACGATGACTTTACTAACTTTTCTGGCCTGGCAGACATCAATTACTTGCAGCCTGAATGAGTGAACCTATGGTCATCTAACCAGTGGTGTGTTTCAGGTTGGCTCAAGAGGCTCTTGTTTTTTAATATTTAATATTTTTGTTTTTTTATGAGATGTTGGTAAGCATGCATTTTTGATTATTGTTATTTTATTACATGCATGATTGTACAGCACAGGCAACGTTCTATGTTTATATTGTTATCTTTAAAGGGGTCATATAATGCCATTTTTGTACAAGCTAATATGATTCTTTAGAGTCTAAATTAAAACTTTGTAATTTACTTTAATTAAAAATTCTCATTAGTATTGTAAGAAAACACTTATTTTACCTGGTCAAAAACAGCTCTGTTTTTAGCACGCCGTTTCAGTGCATATGCCTTTAAATGATAATGAGCTTTGCTCACCCCGCCTCTCTGTTCTGTGTACACCGTTTGTAACACAATAACCATAACGCGTTGTTCATTATAGACGTGGGATTAGGAATTATATTGAGAACGTCATACATAGAAAACATGCCGTAATGTACCCTGAGTGTAAACCTTAGACGCATTCATTGTGAAGAGTGCATCTAGCGATTTGCAAAGATTAATATAAATATTAAAGATTAATAAAATGTTACACTCACCTCAGTTATTTTGGAGGTTCAGCAAGAACACGGATAGTTGGTACCGGTCCAGGAGCAGCTTCTTAGCAAATCCAGCTTTATACTGACCCTC